AATGGTGTATGAATTATTTGTGTTGTTATTACAAGTGTTGCTGTGACCCCCTCGGAAAAGGTTATGCCCCGCCCTGTAGAGAAGAAATGAAATGCAAGTGTTTTTATTTTTAATAATTATATAATTATTGTTTCATAGGTGCTAACATAAATGCACAGACAGAAGAGACACAGGAAACAGCTCTAACTTTGGCATGCTGTGGAGGATTTTCAGAAGTAGCTGATTTTCTCATTAAGGCGGGAGCTGACATAGAACTTGGTTGTTCTACACCTTTGATGGAAGCAGCGCAAGAGGGCCATTTAGAGCTGGTGAAATACTTACTAGCAGCAGGTATGTTTGTAGGTACAGTTCAACGTCTTAAGGAAGAATGACTTCATGGGCTGATTCAGTTTTATGATTAGCACTATTCTGGCATTTAGACATAATAAGGCACGAGATGGGCAGCATGCAAATCAAATAAAATGATAAAATAAAATAATAGCTGTCCTATTATGGAAATAAGAATTTGGGCTTGATTAAATCATCTGGTGGTAAAAACAACAGTACATACATCGGTGTTTTTGTCTTGGAAGTTGCTTCAGAATTGCGTCAGAGATTTAAATGATTGTAATTAATTTCATTTCAGTTTTTTATTTCTCTTTAACCTCACAATTAAAAAAGTAAAAAATCTGATTTTTTAAAATTTCCTGCGCTGGAAAGGATTCTTAGAATTAAAAAGGACATTAACAATGGTTTAAAAGTGGTCTCCAAAAAAGTCAGTTATGGTCTTAAATTCGAATGTAATTGTGTCACCCTATTGCCATGGTCACAATTTGGACACTTTGGGTCCGACTGGTATTTATAATCCATTATAGCATCCTGCAGTCACCTGATTACAATTTTGCTAGTTTGTGGCAAACAATGCCATTGGTTAAGCTGGATTCACACTTACGACCACATGATTAGAGTTACAGCCTCATGGCTCAATTTACGATCATGGTAAAAATTGTAAAATTGGGTATGGTTACATAATGACTCAACTTTAAGACTGCAATGATTTGACAGAAATTCCAGTCCCAATTGTGATTAAATCAAGGATTACCTGTATGTATAATCAAGTTGTTTTCAACTCTTAGCAAGCACATAGATTTATGTAAACTGGTACAGTAACATAAAACCTTTTCATCCAACTAATACTTCTGAAGAAAAATACTCCTCCAAGAAAAGCAATACACAATGGATGAATTGGAACAAAATGTTAGAAGGGTGTTGAGATAAAGTAATATTAAGTAACTTTCCTTTGGCCTTGCTGGTTTTCCAGTATAACAACAAATATTTTTATTAGATCATAGAGTTTATAAAGATCACAGTGGTAGAACCACTGGAAAATATTTCTATTTACATATCTGTCTAGTTAATGTTTCCAAAATTTTTCTGATGTTTTCAATTCTACAATAATGCTTAGTGGGATTGAGAAATGCTTACATATATAATACTTTATAATAATATCGAGTAGTAATAATTAATATGCAGTCTACTATTAGTGATAACCTTAAAATGTTTTTATAATCTGACAAATGGGTTTTTAAAAAAATTAGAACTTCTTATGTGTCTCTGAATCACTTTAGTACATTCTAGATGAAACCATATTGGCAAACAATTTTTATTTACAGTTCCTAAACCCATTCTGATAGCAATTCATTGATTTTCATCAGGTGCTAATGTCCATGCTACAACTGCAACAGGAGACACTGCTTTGACCTATGCCTGTGAAAATGGACACACTGATGTTGCAGATGTTCTACTTCAAGCTGGTGCAGATTTAGTAAGATTTTAACATGTTTTCAAAATATTTTGAGCTTAATTCCCTGCTGTTGCTCACATTTCTTTGCAAATGATACATAGACAGTATATAAATGCAGTGCAAATTACATAGTTATCTGGAAAAGCAAATGAAATAAAATCATAGATTAACAACCTATGTTTCACTATGACAATTTATCCTACAATATTCCACCAAATATCTCATCATGTTGTAATCATTGTATCCATTTTCAATATAGTATTGCTTTAGGCACATGTCTGAAAAGGTTCTCAGTCATCCAAATCATTGTTGTCCTAAAGGTGCTTTTTCAGGAGGCAACTGGACTTTCTTGTTTTTTTCTTTTGAAGACACGTGCAATTTATACTTTTTTATTTTCTTATGTGCGTTGCCTAAAAAAACCTCAACAGCAAACGTTTTATTGATTAAAAGTTTTATCTTGTTCCAGCTCTTACCCATGTATACTGTGTTTTTCCGAAAATAAGTCTTTGTTTTTTTTTGGGGGGGGGGGATCTCCAAAAGAGGCATTGGGTCTTATTTTCAATGGAAGTCTTCCACTGTCTCATCTTGCGTCGGCAGCATTGATAGCCCCGCACAGCAAGAGCCCGTGTGGCTGCTGCCAGCCCACTTCTTCTGCGGCCATTTGCGTGCGATGCTCCCAGCCTCTGTTTGCCATCAGAAGGCTTCAGGAAAGGCCTCTGTAACCAAGAAATAAGCTCTGATGGTGAAATGGAGATCAGGTGAACTCGCATGTGTCAATCCAGAGCTCGTTTCTCATCTGAAGAGGCCTTTTCTGAAGGCCTCGGATAGAGAAACAGAACCCAGGGACTACACTTGCAAGCGGCGGCAAGCAGCCACAGAAGAAGTGGGATGATGAGGCAGGTGTATCGGGGCGTGGGAGGCTTGGCTGCAACTGTCCTAAGGTAAGTAGGGCAGTTCCACCACCCCCATCTGCACCCTAGCTTGATTTTTATCCATGGGCCTCGCCCCACCTCGTGCAACAGAGTGGGTGGGGTCTTAACTAGGGCTTATTTTGGGGCGGTAGGGCTTATATTGGATGCATGTGTAAAAATTTAAGCTGGGTCTTATTTTGGGATAGGTCTTATTTTTGGGAAAACACAGTAGATAAATCCCCTTTTCCTTGAGATTATTACTTTCTTCGTCGGTATAGATTCAACAATAGTTAAGATTCAATCAAGATAGCAGTCTTCTCTGTATTTGGCTCCATCAAGTGTCTCAGAGGTCAAGATTTTTTTTTTAATAAACCCTAGCTTAAGGATTGGAAGCCTTCCCTTTTGCTTCTTGATGCCATCTTTTCTTCTGCTTCCACATACTTGGAAGTAAGTTTTTGCTAGATCAGCTTCTTTGAAAACACTTGAAACAAATGAAACATTGATATGACAGCTGAGGAAATCTGCATGCAACATGTACGTCAAGAGGACCCAAATAATTTTAGGTTTGGTCTTACTGGGTTTAAGGCATAAATAGATAAGTAAGGGTTATTTTTACAAGCTTAGTTTCTCTTCCTTCTTCTAAAATCTGCTTCTCTCAAAATTAGCCTTAAGGTTAGTGTCCAATTTAAAAGATAGATCTCCCGGTAGAGTAAACAGATTCCTGTTTCTTTTGAAAAATTGAAAAAAATAGGAATTTTCTCTAGAAAAGTTTTCTCATGAATCAATTTTGTACACACACCATTGTGTTGAATTAAGTTTTTTGTTTAGAATGAGACTTCCTAATGCAGAATTAAGTGATTATTATTGCATAGGGTTAGAGATCATACTGGAAAACAGTAAATATTTTTAAGCTCATAGTGGGATGCAATAATTTTTATTTGTCTGATTATACTTTTTGATTTTAAAAAAATAGGAACATGAATCTGAAGGTGGAAGGACACCATTAATGAAGGCTGCAAGAGCTGGTCACCTATGCACTGTACAATTTCTTATTAGTAAAGGTTAGTAATTTGAACTGACGGATTGCTTAATATATTTGAAGTTTTTAAAGTTTTATTTATTATATTTATGTTTATTATATATTTAAAGATGAGGTTACTGTCTAATTTTGGTGTTTATTTGAGATAAGTGTAACTTGCTATTTTATTAATGTTATTTGATTAGATATACCATAGTTATTTGATTATATCAAACTATGCTTTCTTAATGTTTCTCTTAACAAATTAGTAACACATATCAGTCTTACAATCACTATATAAATATAGTATACAATTGAAGAAATTACTTCCCTAAGGCAATAGTTTGACTGAATGCATATTATTACAGGAGTTTCCATAGGTGTTTGTGAAGATCAAACAATTTCATAATTGAAATAGTTGTTCCAAAATGCCCACCTAGGTTATATCCAGAAAGAAGTCACTTCTAATCTGACTATAAGACAACTTTGCTCTCTCCTAAGTAGCTCTGAAAATATTTCAGAATCAGAAGAGCTTATTGAATTAGATTAACTAAGGTGCTAAACTCAAAAAAGGATTTATTCAAATTAATTTTTTTTTCAAAAAGAAGATATAATCTCTTTTGGAAGACAAAATCGCTCAACTTCGTTCCCAGTTAAATGCTGGTGTGGTTGCTGGTCTGGTGGAAGTCCCTAAGGCAGGTTCTTGCTCTATTATCTGGAAACGGTTTGACTCTGTTGCTCCTGAGGAAGTGCACAAGATTCAAGGAAATATGCGCCCAAGAACCATATTCCTCCTGGCAGGAATTGGAGGAGAAATTGGGGATCCAGACGCCCAAGAAAGTGAAATATTTGGGAATTTGGTTAACGGCGAAATGTTCCTCGATAAGAGGACAATTATAATAAATTATTACAACAAATACAAAAAGATTTGGACAACTAGGTGAAATTACAAATATCATTAATTGGGAGAATTTCCACAATCAAAATGAATACTGTATCTCTTTCAAACTGTACCAATAAAGTTAGGGAAAAAATTATTTGAAGAATTAAATAAAATATTAAAATTTATTTGGTTGGGAGAAAAAGCCCGTATAAAATTTAAAACTTTTGCAAGATAGTAGAAATAAGGGGGTTGTCGATTTGCTTCTGGGTACAATTCAAGGTGCTGGTTGTCACCTTGCTTGTCACTTATCTGAAGGATCGTCTCTTGCTGGTCACATCTACCTGACCCACTAGAGCAGAGAGGCAAGGAATGTTGTGGATCCCATCTCTAAGGGAAATACACCTAGTGGGGCCTTCTCTGTGGTGGCTTCCTCTCTATGGTGGCTTCCTCTCTATGGTGCATCATTCCCCCAGAGATTAGAATGGCCCCCACTCTAACACTCTTCCGGAAGGAGCTGAAAACCTGGTTCTGCTAGTGGGTCTGGGGAACCCAGAGTGGAATGGAGCCCATTAAATGGCTTGTGTGGTGTGTTGTCGCCAGGGTAAAGGGTGGGGGACTATTATATTATTTTTCTATTTCTTTATTAGTTTTATTTTTTGTATATGATATTTTTATATCCCTGTAAGCTGCCTTGAGTCGCCATTTGCGAATAGGCGGTAATATAAATTTTCTAATAAATAAAAAATAATTTGAGGATAGCCCATCCAATTATTCATATTTTTTTCTTTGGATCTAGGCTGCTCAGTGTAAAACTTCTAAATTCTCCTGTGCGCTGCTTGGGGAATCCAAGCATGGGTTAACTTTGTCCATTAGTCTAGAGACTGAGTTACGTAATTGTTGACCATGCCTCCTCTGACTGGGATAGTTCAGTTTTTTTAACTCAGTCCAACCTTAGAGAGACACATAAATTTTTCTCCTCTAGGATAATAGACAAAATTNAAGTTAGTATTATTTAAAATATTTGAAAAAGAGCATCATACATTTTGAGAAAAGATAAATGGATCCATTGAAGTTTGTTAACTCCAATATTAAATTGGTCTGATTATGAAATATTTGCATAATTTCCAGATCTAAGAAACAATTTTCAAGTGTAGACATGGCATAGTTTACTTGTGACTGAGGAATAAAGACATATTAAAATGCATTAACTGCATCTTAATATTTCTGCAAATTCAATCAGACACAGTATATCAATGAAGAAATTGAAAATAACTTTTTCAAAACATAGCAGGTTACTTTTTATTATTGGGACATTATTAATTAAAATAGACTCCATAATTTTTTTTCATGTAGTACTTGGAGTCAGATTGCCTTTTGTTTCTAACTGATGTTGGAATACTTCCAGAAATTTAATACTCTCCTAGAAGATGGTTTAAGTTGTTGATGCTATAGAAAGAATCAGCAGGCAAATATACTGTCCTTCATTCTGCATATATATTATTTGCTCTAACTCAATGTGTTTGGGCAGAAAGAAAAAATAATTACCAGTGTAAAAAAGGTTTTGAGTTTATACATGATACATATCCCTATTTGTGACTGACTTTAAATAAGATGTTGATTTTGACTTTTCACATCTTCTATATAAGAACATTTTCTATATATTTTTCTGTAAGTAAATTTGCATATTTTTCAATCACACCTGAATTTGTTTGAACAAAAAATTTACTAGTTTGTTTTCTAACTCATTAACATTCCTTAATGAAAGGTAGGATTTTCAAAATTGTTGGAGCATAATACTTAGTCTTCAAGGTCAAACAAGGGCATTACATCCTACACTGTGCCCTTCTACAAGTTAATAAAAATTAATTTATTTTTTCAGTTATCAAAATGCCATTTTTGCTTGTCTGTTCTTTATAGTTGAATAACTCTATTGTCATCAGTTGTAAGACTTGCCTTTCAAATATGAATAGTGTCTGTAATCTTCCAAACATTAGAAGTAAATAAGCTAAGAAGTATATTGATATTAATGGGAAGGATACTATCAAACAAGTGGGTATAGAATTGTAGACCTAAACATAATTTATGGTAGTAAAATAATGCAAATATTGCTAAATATACATGTTCTAAAATTGTAGATACATAAAATACATTAAGAGTTAAATATAACTGTTAGATGTTTGTTTCTCTTTTAGGGAACACTGCACTCACTTACGCCTGTGCGGGGGGATTTGTTGACATTGTCAAAGTCTTGCTGAAAGCAGGAGCAAATATTGAAGATCATAATGAAAATGGACATACTCCCTTAATGGAGGCTGCCAGTGCAGGTCATGTTGAGGTGGCAAGAGTACTTCTGGAATATGGTGCTGGAATCAACACTCACTCTAATGAATTCAAAGAAAGTGCCCTTACACTTGCTTGCTATAAAGGTATGGAATTTTGAAGAACTATATATATTATAATAATACAGACATGTACTTTAATTGCATCTATAACAGATTTCCAATCTTTATAAAGAAATAGAGCACATTAGCAATTTGGAGAGCCTATTATTGCACTACGATGATCAGCACGGTAAAAAAAATCTCATCAATTACAAAAAGGAAATAAGTGTTTCATCTAGTAATACTTTCTACACCACTACTTATTTAGGTTTTTAAATGCCAAACATAATTCTGGGCTGCAGCTTATTGTTACTTATATTTTCCAGAAATGCTAATAAGTATGTGCAAATCCCAGAACCATTTTCAGAAATAAAAATCATGGATGACATTGGTGTCTTAGCACCAAAATAGTTTTTCATATAAAAATAATAATAGTAGTAAAAATGACAATGAAAGACTCTATACCAGGTTAGCGATTCAGGAATTTGTTCAGATGGCATGATTGGATTTCTTTGGCATGGAATTTATTATAGAATATACATAGTCCTGAACATACATTGTAGCCCAAACACTTTGCTTGCTTGTTTAATAACCTGCTCATCTCATGCTTGTGATTCTAGACAGCATACACATTTAAAAGGACAAAAAATCAAACAATACTATTGAAACCAAAACTATAATAAAAAGGGGGGAGTGCATTCTGAACTTAAACACAATTCAACCACTTAATGGATTGCATACTTCCATAGGATCACCAGGCCTAATGGCAGAAGTATGTTTTTAGAGTTTTTCAGAAGTCAAGTATGGATGGCCTTCAGAAATAATACAACCTTGTTTGGGCTAATTGACAGTCTTATGATCCGAAAAGTACCCACGCGAGTAATTTTTTAATAGTCATTTGTTTAAGGAAGACTGCATAGTTAGGAAATCATTTCATATAACATATTTTATAACTGAGAATGCCTCTATCATGCTGCTACATTAAGCAGTTTTCAGGACTTGTCGTGGAAAATATCTTCAAGGAATTGGTTCAAATTAGAAAACAGCAAAATTAATGCAAAATGTTAATAAGACATTATATCCTACAACTAATGATTCATTTGTTTTTTATTTTGCATTTTGAAGGTCACTTAGATATGGTTCGTTTTTTGCTTGAAGCAGGAGCTGACCAAGAGCACAAAACAGATGAGATGCACACTGCTTTAATGGAGGCTTGTATGGTAAATCTCCAATGAAATCTATTTTGTTGAGGATCTATTCTCTACCTTTTCCTCTCTGCCTTCCTCCCCAGCCCCCAGAAGACCTGATTGGAAAAAATGTTTATGGAGAATAAGTCTTCTGAATTGTTTATTTATCACCTGCATTTTGTTTTAAATGTATTATCTTTCATATTTGAGCCATGGTGGTGCATTGGTTAGAATGCACCATTGCAGACTAAGTCAACTCACTGCCAAGAGTTTGATCCTCACCGGCTCAAGATTGACTCAGTCTTTCATCCTTCCAAGGTCAGTAAAATGAGGACCCTGGTTGTTGAGGGCAATATGCTGACTCTGTAAACCTCTTCAAGAGGGCTGTAAAGCATTGTGAAGCAGAAGTGCTATTGCTATGTCTAGTAGCATATAGTGCTAACACTATTGCTATTTTTCTTAGAATAGTAGATAAATAAAAAGCATAGGCATGCTGTCACTTATACATGTAGTTCTCGAGTTACGAATGTAATAGAGCCTGCTAATTGCATTTGTAACCCAAGGATTCATAGGAGTGAATCATGTAACCAAGACCTCCTGTGGGATACCTCATGCTTGGGTCCCCACAATTATTCCCCCCCCCTCCCAATCCTGCTGCGTGGGTCACTTATCTTGTGAAGATCTGTCTTCTCTCGTCTCTCCTGTAGTTTCTTTGCCTGCTTGCAGTCTTGGCGTGAAGAGCATTTTCAATATGAGACTTTGGGGTAGTGAAATCCCTTGCTTGAAGCCTCCCATTGGCTTGTAAACACTCTTTGAGCTAAGACTGGGATGGTGCAAAAGGTATTTGCAAGCCAATGGAAAGCTTCAAGCAACATTCCTGAAACTCCTAGGTGCCAAGCCAATGAGGCAGCATGAAGAGACCCAGCTATTGCCTACATCAGAAGCACAAATGGAGAAAAAATTAAAAATAGCTTATGAAATAATTCTAAATACTCTTTAAAATAGTTAATATATGAAAACATTGATCTATATTTTTAAATTGTGCAATAGTGTTTTTCTTCACTAATAAAAATTAATACATTTATGATTAACTAAATATGATTTGTTTGTTGAGGAGAGTTGGTTTTGTTTTTGTTTATTTTCCAGAAATATTACTTCTTGAATAGTTCCTGATACATTTTCTGGCACCAAATGCCTAGGTTGCCATCAAATTGGATTATGTCAGGGAGATATGTCACAGAAACTAAAAATTGAATTCCTGCAAGAAGTAAAATGTTTTGTTACTGTTGCTAATTCTTAAATTTTCATTAAATACCCATGCAAAATTATGGTTCACAAATTGCATTTGCAATTATGATTTCATATAGTCTTCTTTTTTCATTCAGATTATATAGAACAGTTCTTTGGAAGGATGTTTGTGTCACCTTTAATTTTTTTTTAATAGGATGGGCATGTAGAAGTAGCTCGTCTGTTGCTCGACAGTGGTGCTCAAGTGAACATGCCTGCCGATTCATTTGAATCTCCACTAACACTTGCTGCTTGTGGTGGTCATGTGGAATTAGCAGCTTTGTTGATAGAAAGAGGAGCAAATCTTGAGGAAGTTAATGATGAAGGGTATACGCCATTGATGGAAGCTGCAAGGGAGGGTCATGAGGAGATGGTAGCTCTATTACTGGCACAAGGTAAGAGAAGGTGACCTCATGTATAACTTAATAATTTTTCTGGTTCTCATTTTCAGTTTTTTTTTTAAGAAGTACCATATTTTTCGGAGTATAAGATGCACCAAGGTTTTGAATAGGCAAATTAAAAAAAAAGTTTTTGCACTCTGCAAACCTCACACAAAAGGCTCTTTTTTCATGAAAATGGGCCCGTTCCCCCCCCCCAGACATGAATAGCCTTTAGGAGGCTTGTGGAGTGCTCCTGCAGGGGGGAGGGGGGGGGGCAAAAACGAGCAAAACAATGGCCTGTTTTTTTGTCAAAAAGGGGGCATGGATAACCTTTAGGAGACTTATAGAGTGTTCTGGGGGCTGAGGGGGGCAAAATTGAGTAAAAAACGACCCATTTGTCCCTCATTTCTGCCCTCCCCAGGAGCTCAGTAAAAGCCTCCTAAAAGCTATGCACGACCATTTTGGTGAAGGGGACGGGGTTTCAGGAGGCAAAAAATGCTGTATTCAGTGTATAAGACGTACCCAGATTTTCATCCTCTTTTTTGAAGGGAAAAGGTGCGTCTTATACTCCAAAAATACGGTAATATGGCTAGCAAAATATTTTTGTTGCTAATATTTACTGTATGGAAGATACTTGCTCCATTTGAGTATAACTTTCATGATATTTTTAAATTTTCTGTTATCCTGTCTTTTATCATTTATACAAATAACTTAAGGTGACGAACATAATATTCCTTCCTAAATTTCCCAGTGCAATTAGTGGTAGTGGTCATGTAAAATTATAGCTTAAAGCATGATCTGAATCAAAATATAGGTAGTATAACTGTAATTACTAATTTGCTAATTTGAGATTGGTTCGTTTTGTCAATTATAGTTAAGCTTGAGCAGTGAGACTGAGGAATTCAAGCTTAAACAATGTTATACTATGATTTTAATTTCTAAACTATTCAAACTTATAAATACTTTTTATTTGTAGTTTGAAGCCTAATACCATATCTCAGTACCATCCAGAAACTTGAATTAAAATGGATAAATTTTGCACAGGGATAAGAGATGGTCAGATATGAGGGCAAAAATGTTTGTGTGGCAACAGTTTCTATATAAATGTGGGGTAGCAAAAGTAAATGCAGAAGGAAGAACATTGGAACTCATTCAGCTGAAATGGAAATGCATCAAAAACTTACACACTTTTGATTAAATTGTGTATACCATTATTGCCCATTGTGCCTTTACTTACACTGAATGGATTAGTATATGTCTGATCAGTGCTGCATGCACTGTTCTGTTTGAAGGAATTATGGATTAGCAAAAGAGGAGGGTCTCTAGAGGGTTCTTTGCTTTGCAATTGGCACCTAGGTTGATGATAGCAATTTAAGACAACCTATGCTATGGACTGGATATGACCTGTCACTTGAAAATCTGTGTTGTAGTCCCAAAGAGAAATATTATATCCACATTACCCACTGCGGTTTTAAAAAATGAAGGGTAGTTACCTGAGCATGGACAGAACAAGTCCTTTATCTGTTTATTTTTTTTAATTCAGTTATTAAAATTTTATGCTGCCCATATGCCCTATAAAGTGACCTTTAGCTATGATTAATGAGTGTGAACTCTGAGGTGGAAAAGGAAGAGGAAATTGCATCAGTGGTTACTCTTATTGCGCAACTCGCCTGAGGGGTGGGCCAAGCAAAAGGCAGAAACCCATCTCAACCCAGTTTTCCCCTTCATAATCTGCATGCCCATTTCCCTCCTTTCTCTCCTCCTGTGTGGAAAGCGGAGGAGGAGGAGGTAGCAGTCTCTGACCGGTATATCTGAATGCTGCTTTAAGATTAAAAACTTTGCTGCTGCTTGTTTAAAACATTATACACATACACAAAATGCACAGCCTAATACTTAAAGCCACTGCTAAGGAAGTACAGGGCGGGGCATAACCTTTTCCTAGGGGNCCTCAAAAATAATAAGACCTCCCCAAAAATAAGGCCAAGTGCTTATTTCGGGGGTCAAAAGAAGACCCTGTCTTATTCTAGGGGAAACATGGTATGAAGCAGCTTTCCATGTTTTTAGCTCTAAAGCCCATAGCCTTCAACTCTTCAATACTGCAGGGTGGCAGTACTTGAGTCTTCGAGGTGCTTGATGTGGCTTGACAATTTCTGAGGCCCCTCCCGATTTCACTTTGCAGTTTCTAGGACTGCCTCCCTGTGTCGTCGTCAGGCCTGTTCACAGCCTGTATCATTAAGCAAATTCATTTAGATTTTGCAATCTCTGAAACAAATTGCAATGTGCTAACATGCTTTAACGTTCAAGCCTGGATGTGGGCTTTAATTTGCCACGTCTTGATAAAGCACCATGTGCAGCCATCTAAAAGTCAGCAGCGGGAGGTTAATGGCAGTGAACTAAAATAAAACTAAATGTCACTACGTCTTCCTTTTCTGTAAAACCTCCTAAATAGATAAGACGTATTCAGAAAGCTGTAAAATGTGCCCTTTGCTTACAAGGGAAAGGTCAGGCCTGCGCTAACAAATTGGAATAGGTTAGTCATAAATGATCACATCAGCAGCTGAAATATGGTACCTTACATATGTTAAATATTGTTCCAGCAACTTTTCACAGGCGCTCTTTTGCATTATGCAAAGCATCCTAGGGTAGCAGAGCCATAATAATCAAAGACAAAAGCATTTGCCACACAGAGTGGGAGCCTAGGAAAGAAACTATCCCTAAGGTTTATTGTGGCGTCTCCGATAAGCTGATCCGTTCAGTTCCAGCTGAAATCAGTGGCTGGTTTCTTCTTTTAAGCAGCAAGCTTCTGTCGGTCATTGTCCATTGTTTTTTCCCCCAAAGTTTTTCAATCATTTAACTGCAAATGCACTAGAAGTGTGTCCTGACCCAGCTCCCCAAACACTGAAGTAAATTCAAAGATTCCTTTATTAGGAATGCCAGCAGCCCCAGCAAAAAGTTTTTCTCGTAGGCTAACAAGTCCAGACGTCTGGAAGATGAATAGAATAGAACAGAACAGAACAGAACAGAACAGAACAGAACAGAACAGAACAGAACAGAACAGAACAGAAC